CAATAGTTTGCTTTTGTAACCAACAAAACATATCAATATGTATAAATTCTGATTTCACTTCTGTTTGTGTTCCCAATATTCCCTTAATTCTTCCTTCTCCTCCAGATCAAGCCTTCCATCCTCAATCTCCACCCTCATCCCACCACCATCAACCACCGTCCACCACCACTCCTTCTCTAAAGTCCAACGTCCAAATCCACCTCTAAACTCGAAGCAAATATCCATCATGATGAAAACTACAGTGACGAAAACTACAGGGACAAAAATACCTTGATTCACGAGGATAAAAGGTGCACAACTACTGGTTTGCACAGGAACGAAAACACACAGTAGCGAAAACCCACAGGGAAGGAAAGCCTCTTGATTTGGATCTGATTTGGGTCGATTTGAAGCCACCAGAGGCGATGGAGGGTGAACTCGATCGATTGAGACGATGAGGAGGGTGAAGTCGATCAAATGATGAAGTATAAATCGGTTCTCTAGATAATTTTCAGGATTAAGAGAAAAATAAGTGGCTAGGCTATCACTTAATTTTTAAGAGGAAAATAAGTGATAAATGGCTTTGAAAGAAAAAGAAAAACAAACGGTCTGAATATCCTTATGTCTGACCGAATCAGACATAAGTGATAAAATAAGAGTTTAAAAAAAAAAAAAAACAAACACCACCTAAGTGTCCAATGAATTTTAAGTGGTAAACTATCCCTTAATACATTTTAATCCTAATTCGCCCTCTATCAGATGATCCATCTTTTGGGGGGCTAGAAGAGATTTATTAACAAATACTATTTATCTTTTATATTTTTGTAAAAAAAAAACTATTTATTTTTTATATCTTTATACTAGTTTGATTGATTCAGATTTCTTACAAAAAAACAAAGATTCTTACTAATCCAGATTTCAGACCTTACACTAACTCTTATAAATTACGAGGGAAATCAGACTTTAGACTTTAACACATTTTAAAAAATAAATGTGAGCTTAAACTTTTAATATTTCTTTAAAATGGGTTTTATTGTTTATATGTATACATTACAATTATTTATAGATATTGGTTCATATGGTTTGTTAAAGATTACAACATTTGTCTATACCTTTTCGAAATTACAAGATTACCATCGTGGTTTACAAAAACGTTCGGATTTGATTTCTTCAACTAGCAGCCGTTAAAAAGAAATTCGTTAAACGAGAGATGTTTTTGTCATTTATATATTAAAAAAAAATCTTTTACCTAATTAAAAACCATATAAATCGAAACCATACAACCGCTTTTGATTGAGTAAAACAGGAAAAAAATCGATAAAATGACGAAAATGTCTCACCTTTAACGGAGTCTTTTAAACAACCGTTACAGAAAAGTACGAAATTTGGACGTTTTTGCAAATCACAATAACCATCTTGTAAATTCGAAACTGCAAGAACAAAAAGGGTATTTCCAACAAACCATCGCGACCAAATCTCTAGTTCACTCTTATATATAATTTTTTTTTGATTAACCTGGATATCCAACCCGTTATGCGAGCGACTAATTCCAGGGAGACCACCTGCTTTGCAGATAGCCCAGAGTCACCGCATTTGAACCTCCGTGGCCACAAGGGGATTTTTATTCCTCATTGGATTTGAACCTGAGACCTCCTGATATTTTTGACCTTTGGAGCCAAGTTCAAACCAATCAGGCACCATTCTTGTGGTTCACTCTTATATATAATACAACAGTCATCTGCAAAATTTAAAAAAAGAAGACAAAAATATTGGCATATCAACTCAAAACGGCCTGATTCGTTCCCGTTTAAACTAAAAACTTATTCAACTTGTCTAACCTATCTATTTTTGCTGCATCGACCATTTAGATTTTAGAACAAATGAACAATTGGCAAGTTTTTATCGAAACCTGCATATAATATATTTTAGTTCATGGGTAGACGTTGAAAACGTTAAATACATGTTTTATTTAACATATATTAATTATTCAATAGTTTATTGGTTTGTTGATAACTCCGAACGTCTACGTCTGTAAAACGTTGTAATAAAATATTATTTTTATACTAAACAGGTATATAACGGATTCTCCATAATTATCTGGATGCATTTCCTGCCACGATTTGTTGAATAAATAAATTATTGAATTTTTTTAAATTATAATTTGGTTCTCTACATCTCTTCTAACCCCAAAAACTATATGTAACAGACTAAGAGATTGTTTGTTTATCTCTTAATAGTTCTATTAAGAGACATCTTCTGAATTGTTAAGAAGTTATCTTGTTTGGCAAAGAAAGAGTATGTTTCTTGATGGTTCTAAAATCCTTTCAATGATTTTGTATCATGAGTTCCCTTAACCATTCAGAGCCCTAATTTTGTTGTAAATAATTACCAAACAATTATATTTCATTTTGCACTATATCATGAGAGTCTGTTAATCATTTTGACCACTTAATCATTCTGCACCAAACCATTCAGCAACCGCCAAAAAGTTTTAAAGTAAAAGATAATCTAAACCAATGTATCATTCCCAAACCCTTTGCACCTAATGCCACCACTCCCCTTGCCATTCCTCTGGGCCCCATCATTATCCATTCTCAATCACGTCAATTGTCGTCCTTGACCATTGTCATCAATCTCCCTTTCTATGATGGAATAAAAGGAGGAAGATGGAAGACAAGACAACGATGAGGATGAACGGTGACGGAAAGCGGATGACAAAGAGAACGATGCCATTAAGCCTGAGACATAAGTATGACGTGAGATTTAACAACAGTACGATAAAATTATCGGCTATCTATATTTTTTGGGTTAACTAGGCATGGCAACGGGGCGGGGCGGGGATGGGGCGGGTTTTGTAATCCCCGGCTCTAACCCCGGTTTGTAGTAACGTTCCCCGGCCCCTGGATCCGTTTTAGAGGGGAATCCCCGTCCCCGTTCGGGTCGAGTGAACCGGATTCCCTACCGGATCGGGGGAGATCACCATCTCTAAGGTTAACATATAATAATTTATTTATTAAAATAAATAAAATAAAATTATGAGATTTATCTATACTATATTATAAAGCATTTGACTAAAACTCTTAAACTCTTAAAACTCTTAAACTCTTAAAAAATCTTAAACCCGTTCATCCCTATCCGATTTCATCACATATCTGAATTCGTGTAATTAACTGCAAATAAACACAATCAAATACAGGATAAACATCTCATTTTAAATATAAAAAATCTAAAATATAATTTGGATAATCATTAAGTTCTAACAGAATAATTAATTATTATCTTTATAAAATATTATATTATTAAACCAAAAATAAATTATTTCATTATTAAACTTAAATTAAATTATAATAAAAAAATAAATTAAAGAAATTACATAAAAAATGAAAACTTTTAAATAGTTGATTTGACATTAACATTGATATATA